CTCGATGTTTAGCGCCGGCGTGGTCGCGGACGCTCTAAAAGCGTTGGTTTTTTAATTTTCAATTAGCTCAACAATAACTCAATCTTTCCCCCGACTGCGCGAGTATCGATGTATCCGTGTTGCGCCACGGGGATAAGAAATGAAGCGCACGCTCGAACGTAATCGCGAAATACCTTCTCGCGCGGAGAAAAGGAAGGAGTGGAAGTTACACAGGCCGCGTTAGGACTCGGTGAGGTGAACCCCTTGATATATTGTCTAGATACTTGCATTGTACGGAGGTACTGATCTACGGGGCAATACGTATTATCTGGCAGAAGAGAATTGGAGCGATCTACCGATCGGTGTGCGCGTGTCCGTGTTCATAGTACGTGCGGTGCATCCCCCCCCCCCACCCCGAACGAAGAAGCCTCATCGTCGAGGCGAGATTGAGAGTCGTGACTGATTAATACGCGAGCTATCGCGATGTCCAGGAGTTATTTGGCATCGAACATGGAATGCGGTTTACGATATTTTATTGGACAGCGAAGGGCTCGCTCGCGCCGAGCGGTTGCTTGGCAATCGCGAGATATCTCGAAATTAAGAGGTTTTCGAGTTCTAACGATCTACGGTATTTTATCGGACGCGGTGAAGGGCCTCGTTCGCGGTTGCCTGGCAATCGCGAGATGTCTCCAAATTGACGGATTTCGAGTTCTAACGATATTTTCTTGGACAGCGAAGGGCTCGCTCGCGCCGAGCGGTTGCTTGGCAATCGCGAGATATCTCGGGAGTAAAGAATTTTCGAGTTCCAAACAATCGATAAATAGACACAAGTTTTTGAATCTCTTCGCATACGTATTTTTGTATAATTTATTTCTAGAACCACGTCACTTCGTCTTGTCACGCGGATCATGAATGACGCTGCTTTAAAGTGCATATAGGGTAATAACGATCGAGTGATTTATCGCGGGTCATTTGCGACCGATCGCAGCGTAGGACAGCGCATTTCTGTCGGGGCAAACTTTAATTTGTTGCCTCGCGTACGAAGGGATATATTCAGGAATTACGCGGGCAGGGCATTGTGAGCGGAGATAAGTTATTCTCGCGGTAGAACGCGCGGAGCGAAGCCGGTGAGGTCCTGATTTATCGGGAGTTCTCCCGAAGATGGGGGCATGTTCTCTCGGGGAAACGTGACTCGTTAATCGGTACCATCGTACCGGGCATTTTATCCGGTTAATAACCAGCCGTGAAATGAACGCGGGAATACTATAAATACTTCGGGGATTATCCGGGGAAGCAGTCGGGAAGGGGGGGGGGAGAGGCGGCAACGAAGATTAGAGTCGGTCTCGATCTCGAGATAAGATAGGACTTTCCAATTTAGTAGCTTCTTTATCATTCTCGATAGGTGTTGCAAATTTTTCCGAGGAAGAGAGAGAGAGAGAGAGAGAGAGAGAGAGAGAGAGAGAGAGAGGAAGAGAGACAGACAGACGTATGGAGATGCTCTGATTTTACAGGAATATTCATTTTCGACAGATATAACGAGTGAATAAAGTAGCGCTCCGCGCTACTTTAAGTTTTCCGCGAGCCACAAAGGAAACGGCAAATTAACCAAGGAATTATGCAGCGGCGTATGTGCGATAGAACTCGTTTCTTCGCGCAGCAATGCGAGCCGGGCATGAAGGACGACGCGTGTTTTGCGTTTATACCGTTTGCGCGACAGTTACAATATCGCCGTCGATTTGCATAACATGTCCTCATTACCGAAAACCCGGCGCGGCGCAAAGAAACGGTAAAGGCCCGTTAACGCCTCGTGGGATAAGCATCGTGGGATTTTTCGAAAAACGACGGAGAACGGCGGAAACGACGTTCCTCCTCCCGACGAAGCGGCTCGGGCCTAAAGTCTTCATTATGAGACGCTGCGTGAAAGGATACAAAAGTCTGTCACTCGATAATACGCGAAAAAAAAGGGGAAAAAAATCAGAGAGGAGAAAGGTGAGGTCGTTAGCCTTCGAGGAAAGCGCGCGCGATAAACGGAAGATTCACGGCACCGGCAAGCACGTAATTTATAAGCTCCGCTTTGGATGCGAAGCTGCATTCGAGGCGAACCTAATGGAACCTTATTTCACTTGCACTCTGAACTCCATTTATAAATGGAGTTCGAGCCTACGCCGAGCGTGCTCGTGCCATTTGTTTTCGTAGAGGCCTGTCGTTACGCGGGTAAGAGCCCGAGCAGAAAGATTGTCGTAACCGTATACGATTCTGTCGTAAGACTCGAGTCGGTGTCGGAAATCAAAATCGCCTTGCGATGTAATGAATGCGACATACGTCTACGACAATTTTTTGTGCTTTGACTTCCGACACCGACTTGAGTCTTACGACAGAACCGTCAACGGTTACAACAATCTTTCTGGTGAGACTCTAAGGCTGGTGGCAGAGAACGATCTGTAAACTCTTAAGGGCCTGAGCAGAGAGATTGTCGTAACTGATTATAATTTTGTCGTAAGACGTAAGTTAGTGTCGGACAAGAATTGTCGTATGTCGCATCCATCGCATCGCGAGGCGACATACGACAATTCTTTGTCCGTTGACTTACGACACTGACCTAAGTCTTGCGGAATCGTAAACGGTTACGACAATCTTTCTGCTCAAACCACAAGAGTGTCTTAGTCGTAGACGTAAGGCGTGGTGGAGGAAAACGTAAGTCGTATACAACAGCCTTTCACGACCTACCTTTTTCTCTGCCTTGCCTCACGTCTACGACTTAGACAGTCTTAAGCGTTTACGTCGTTCTCTGCCATCAATCTAACTTCGCCGCGGCGATACGTAGATCCACGCGTCCTCCGAAGCTTCATCGATCATTTTTGCCGCACGCAGCTCAGAATGTTTATCGCGCCCTCGGGTCTTCGTACACGGCGTGTCTCTCCCACGAGAATGAAACGCCCGCTCGTTAAGCCGCACGCGCGAGCGTTTCTTTTAATAAACGTCGATTAAACGGACGCGCCTTTGACAGTCGCGCCCAATTAAGTCTTGAGCCGCTTTTAATTGTTCCTAACGAGGCTGAAACGCGCGCGCTCATACTCTGCGTCATGTCGCATAACAATGACTAACGGTTAGGCCGAGCGAGCGTGCCTCTGCTCCGTTTTCTATTGCAATGTCGACGAAGTCGACGACACGACAATCGATTTACGCTCATTCATACGCGAATCGAGGACGCATAATACTTCCATTGAATGTCGCAAGTCTGAAAGTTTATCGCGAGAACTTTCAAAGTATAACGATAAAAAGTTATATGTTACGAAGAAAATCGTGCCAATTAACGCACGCATGTTCCGTACGTACGCGTCATAAATTAAGCTTAATTTCCCTCTTCTTTAACATCTCCGGAAACAACTTTCTGTCCGCCGGAGCGGATTCCTCTCTTCTGCAAACACTCCCCTTTTCTCAAATGAATATCGCGTTAGACTAACGTGCACATTAGCCGCTTGGCAGCCCTTGGTAAATGGGCGCCTATGGCGCATCTGGACGGGCAAATTGGCCGGATGCCGGGCGATTGCGATGATCGCCGGCAGTTCCGATTCATCGATCCGTACGTACACCGTGCTGGACGTGTGCGGACGAAACGGGATTGCATAACGAATCGTGCAATTACAACGCGAATGAATGTCGGGGAATTAATTAGGGACGAGACGCCCGATGAGAGACGGAGAAAGAGAGCGGGTGAGTGAGCGAGGGGGAGGAAACATTATCGGCTTAACGCGGCCTCATTAGTTACGCGACTATTACCTGTTCGTTAGATCGCGAGCGCGGTTTCCGACCCGTGATAGCTATTCCGTGGGTTTGAAATGCCGCGCGACCCTCGCTTAACGTCGCCTTTATGTCGGCGCCTCTCTCAGTCCACCTATTTTTAATTAAACGTTAAGGTCGCCCTTGGCGCCGCACGCCGCACGGGCAGAAGGCCAGCACGCGATTATGCGCCTTGAGAAACGCGGGCGCTTTATATAATATTATAATAGAGCGCGTTTGTGCGCTCATCGAAGGAGAGGTAACGCGGCCGACGTTGAAAATCCATCGGCGCAATTATTCCGCGGGGCGACTCGCTCCGGTCGCGATAAAAGCGCGACGCGCAAATTGTGTGCCCGCTCCTTACGCCAGTGGAATTAATCATGAGCGGAATTAACGCTAAACGAGCGCAATTATCCGGTCGGCGATGCTATTATTAAGACAAAAGCGAAGCATCCGGACCGCTCCAGACGAGCGGAATTGATCGGTCGAACATCGCTCACTTAATCATTAGCTATTAATATATTCGTTCGGCACGTCTTTATCGGTCGATAAGCGGGAAAAACGACGAGTAAATTAAAGAGCTCTCAGAAGCCGCTCTCGGAAGCGTCTCGAGCACGTCTCGACTACCTGTCGCCTCCCCGACTGGTTCCGATCGCGTACTATTGACTCCTTGAACTTGGAGATTGCTCCTGCGAGACGGGATTTGCTTTGCCGCGGGAAAAACCTCTCTCTCCTCGTTAAGAATCTTTCTCGAGAACAAGTTGCGATTCGTCGACGAATATCGACGACGCTAAACGATACGCGCGCAATTAATTTCTGAGATCAGATAAAACCATCGATAAACGACTCTGAAATCTAATAGAAATGGAACAAATAATTATCTTTGCCGCATGATTTCTTTTAGTATTCTTTTACGTTCAACGTTTTACTACTAAAACTTTCTAACGACGGACTCTTATCGTAGTGGCTCGTAAAATTGGTCAGGCGCGGTCAGGCGGAAACCCTGATTCTCGCGCGCAGCTTGAATCGCTCCATTTTTGCGTAACGAATCTGTCAACTGATTTCCAGGACAGTTCACCTACTTGGCCAATACGCCACGTACATTCGCCCGCGCGGTCAGGCACACTCGACAATCGTCGACAAGTATCACTAAGTTTCCTTTCGCGAGACAGCGCTCTCGAGTCCGGGCGAACGTTCGCCGAGGAGGGTTGGAGGTTCTCCGGCTCCAAACGCCGACTCACCTTCAGATCGACATGCCGTCCGTCGTGCGAATGCCGCCGATGGAAACCCGTCACGCTCGAAAGGATCGTCGACACGATCATGCGATCGCGATTGTACGTGGTCACGTGTCGATATCGATTACATTCCCGACAGGAGACCCCGGTAGCGTTTACTCCAGATCGATCCGAAATTCGAGCGGTTCTTTCTATCTTTCCCACTGGTTGCGGCAAAAACACGCGGGGGATTCCCGAACACTTCCGCCCGACGGACACGATTTACGGCGCCTCCGCGATGACCCACGAGTCACACCTGACGAAGCGTAGGACTGCACTGAACTGGTGGTGGCTGTCGCGAGTATCCCTCCTCCGGCCTTTGCCCCCCTTCTTCCACGTGTCCTTTCTCTTCCTCTCTACCGAGCAACCCTATCTGACCTTTTCTTGCCTCTGGATCTGCTTTGACAGGCTCGGCAGTCTAATCCGGCATTTTTTCCCTCTTTGAAACCTTTGAAGACCTTTGAAGAGGCTGCCGGTACACTCGACAGCAATAATATAGCCATGCGGAATAAAAGTGGCGGCGGAAGAGTGCACGTACGTTCATATTTAGCTCTAATAATCTTAGAAATCTCCAATCCACGACCACCCGATCTGGCATCGGTAAGTTTTTCCATTAAACAACGACATTTACTATTGAATCTTTCAACCCTTGAGTCTCTCGGTGGCCAATTCGCAGAGGAAAAATTTGTGGGAACGCACGGTGCACTTGGGATTAATTAAAACTGCACCGCCCAACTACGTCGAGTCTCTTATCGCACTTTCGTTGACGTCAAGTGCGCACTCTGTTACACAGTTTCGGAGGATCCAAGGTGAAAAATTGAAGTCTATACATCATCCGGCGTTCGCGAGGCACGGACTGTTTTCAGCGCCTTGCGATCCCCTCGCTTTAACGACGCGAGGCGGCCGTGTTCGCCGATTCTACCGGCGCGGGTTTATGGATTACGGTGCTTCCAGCACCATAAAGTCTGCCAGAGGAGATCAGCAGACGCGCGCGTGAGTCACGACGCAGGAGGAAACGACCGCGCGTCCTGCATGTATATATAAACGTTAATATCGCTCATTCCTTATGACGCGTCGAGCCGTAGGAGTGCAAGGGCCTCTGGTAAACCGTTAACCGCATCCCGACCCGTGGAGATTCCTCTAATCTCCCGGCCCTTAATCATCATTGTTCGGAGAAACCGCGCAGCAACCTCGAGGAATGCTCGCGGTGGCGGCCTGAGAAAATCGGAGCACCGCTCGCGAAATCTCGCCATTTTCGCGTCTCAGCGGAACGCACCGTCCAAGTATTGCGTCCGACAGGCGGATTCCCCGCGGAATGCGGTCACGTCGGGACCGGCGAGTGTGAGAAAGTCGCCGGAAAGAATTCCACCTTGGAAACAGATTGATTTCCGTGGCGCTCCGCCGTTTTACTTTGCAGCGATTTCTTACGGCTCGAGATACACCCGCGGAAAATATTAAAAGCCCCGCCGAAGTCCGCTTTATTTCCGCTCGAGAGAGGGCTCGAGTTCCGATCGAGGTGCTTGGACAAAAGGCATTCCAGACGTGCCACGCGCGTAAGTCGCGTTTGTGCACAAAGCACAATTAATATATGCGCATCTATTACACACTAATGCGTAATCGGATTTTATTATTGTCATCGAGCGTCGCGCCGATTTTTCCGTTCAACTCAACCGCTCGCTTAAGTCACCGTCATTACGTCGTTACGTCGACAGATTATGTCAGCGCATAAATCAGCGCCTGATAAAATATACAGGACAAAATCGACGTCTGCCATCGTGTTTCTAGGGACGAGAGGGTCGACTCGGCGATCCGTAAATTATGCGGACGATCGTTGTCGCGCGTAAATTATGCACCGCGCGCGTGCACCTCGACGCGATGTCGCCGTTCCCTCGTCATCCTCCGGTGGCACATCGCGCCTCGTGTCCGCGTCCCCCGGGGTCTATTGTCCGTGCACGCGCGTCCGATGCATCCGCGTGATCGGCGTGACTCGCATCACACTCGCGGCCGCTTCATTGTTCCGTACACGCGCGCGCTCGATCCCCACAGGTATCCAAGGCGGAGGCGTCGATGATACTCGAATACAATCGGGTGCGACCGTTGAAAGCCATTGGTATTCAAGAGGCGGAATTAAAGTGACGAAATTAGGGGAGCCGCATATGTATTTCTTGCCTCCCTCCTCTATCTTTTTTCCACGATACACGCGGTATACAGGACGCTACTACAGTGACTCACGCCGTATGGTTCACGCGCGTGCCAGGCGCTGCGTCATGTGGAAATCTCCTTGGCCATCGTTCGGGACTTTGATAGAAATTCCGCGCTCAATTCTTCTCTCTCCACGATCCCCCGAGAAATCGTATTTGTATTTTTAAGGTGGCTCGTGCACGAAGGGGCGGTTTCTGAGGAGAAGAAAAAGTCAGGATGACGTCAATTTGATGTTATATTGGCCAAAATTTGACATAAATTTGGTCAATATGACATCAAATTGACGTCATCCTGACTTTCCTCTCCTTGGGTTAGTATGGGTGCTTTGGTGGGGCCCCTTTGATTTTTATCAATTCCTATGACTCTTTTCATAAATTTGTTTACCATTAAATTATGGCGTTAAATTGAAAATATGCGGAAAATAGTAGTATTGGCAAGCGCCGATTTAATGCATCGTTTTCTTTTTGCTCGAAGCACGCATGCCCGGAGAACCAAGTTCGTTTTATCTACGAAGTCCCGAGAAAATGATTGATATTCAGGGAAATGCTCGCGTGTCGACAAACTTTCTGCGCGCATTGCGGCGTTATAGCCGCTTCCGTTCGTGGTTTCCGTTCCATGTTTTTCTGTCGACGCTAAAAATGATGGCCTATATGTGATTTAATCAAATAAACCGAATTTATTCTTCGAATTTCGTCTTCTTATTTTCTGAATATCTAAACGTGTTCGTACTTAAAATATGAAAAGACAGCTCGAGAGTTTAAAGATTAATCCAGCCCTATCGTGTGGTATTCATACAGAATGAGTCTTTTTAATCTTAACAGGCAAATATTTCAATTTCACAAAAAATTTTTTTAATAAAAATTGTACGGTCTAGAAGGGGACATGAGATGGTGTCATTAATTTGACCTGGAATAGTTGCTTGAACGTCACTTTCAATTTTTTAAATGGAACCCCCTATTGTTTAATCTTATTCTACCAATTAATATGAGCAACTTTTGTCTGAAGCATTTCTTGATTCGCCTGACACTTTTCGAGATATTCAAGAGAAAATCGATAACTCTTTCAATATTTAGCTTATGATATCTCGATAACTGTCTGCCGGAGGGAAAAGTAGTACAGGACTTTGTTTGCTTGATTTGGTCTCAGGAATATGCCGTTGCAATGGTGCGCTAATTATTGAAAATTGTTGTGTATGTAAATTTTGTGTACGTTACAATACCGCACAACTTTTATTTCAAAAGTTGTTTTTTTTTCGTGTGTGTAATTGCATATTTTCGAAATATTTGCCCGTTAGGATTAATAAGCTCACCCTGTAGATTCGTTCGCGGTGAGCTTTAATTAAGAGAGCCTGTGAAGGATGAATGAATTAACCTTCCGATTCGCTCGGACTAACGATCTGCGCATTGATATCCGACTAATTTATTGCCGGCGATCGACATCTTTCGCACCACGATGAAGAGGGACTGCTCGAATAGTCAATTAAGGTTCAAACTTTTCGACTTAATTGACAAAATGCAAATTCGATATTTACGTGCCGTCAATTCAATAGAAAACGTAATATTTCAACCATTAATCCGACGTTCTTATATTTCCATTTAAGGGGAGACGCAAATGTATCTCGAGTTAAAATTAAATCTCCGATCGCCATGCGCGCACAATATAACGTTTGTATCGGTCGCTACGTGTGTCCTCCGCCTACACCACGAGTTGACAGCAAGTTAATACGTGATAACGTCGCTTCCGGTTGTGGGGACGCGAAACAAACGCCAAGCAAAAGCGCAGAAAATTACTAGTTCTTTGTCGCGTGCGCGCACAACCGCGTTTCGTTCACCTGGTGCATACGCCTGCATACACCTGGCCGGGACACGATCCTTCCCCTCCCGAAATTACGAAACGATTACTGCTTAATGAGTCAGCAGCCGGGAATATCAAATGTTCAATAATTTCCCCGATATTTAATAATATTCCCGACGATGACCCGTTAAGCAGTAATTAATGTTAATTCGAAATACTGGAACATTAATTCCGTGACGCTTTCCTGTGATATAAAATGAAAATAAAAAGTAACCGAGGCATGGACATTGCAAAATAACCACTCGCGGAGTTACCTAATTCTTTCATTACGCTCGCAACTCTGTATTTTGCATTACGCGAACAAATAGATTGAAAATTCAACAAGGTGCAGAGTCAACTAAGTGTAATGCGGGTAATTCCGTGACTTTTTCCGCTCTCTCGTCCCGCTGTCGAAATATCCGGAGAACTCATAAACGTGGCCAGGCGTGTTAAGTGTTACCTTCGCGGGTTTCACTTTTCCTTTTACGCGCTTATTATCATCATCGCTTTCGCACGACAAGTGTAATCAAACTCATACGAAATTACTAATATTGTTACGTCGATGATGATGTCAATACAATTAGGCCCGGTTTTCACCAAATGTTGTCTAACTTCAATCTTGGTTCAAATCATGTTTGTCTCTTTCTAAAGTAACAGTTGGAAAGAGGCAAAGAACGAATTAAGCGAAGCTTAAATGCTAAACAATGTCGGTGAAGCCGGGCCTTAGTCGCCAATAGACAGCCAGTCTCATTAACACGTCGCTATAGCTGCTTAAGCATAAACAAGTCGTTTACCTCATTTTTAGCCACTTTTATAGTTTCGCAGTCGGACTCGACGTAAAAGATGGAACTCATTTCTGGCCGGAACCACATAGTTCGCCTAAATAATTTATCAACGCGTAATCAGCCAGTTTCTCCTTTTCATCGCCGTTTTAAACATAACAATTACGAAATCGCACCACTACACTCCACGAATACTCGGGCATGAAATTATCACACGTTGCACCGCCAACCTTTTTCGACAGTTTTCTTTTACAATTAAAACAATTTTTTTTTATCTTCGTATCGTCACTTCCGTTTCTGAAATGTATCGTCTAAGAACGGACTTATTTCCGCTCCCTGCGTTTTAATCTAATCACGGAACATGCAACCTTCTCCGTTTTACTTCTCTTTGTATTTATATATTTTCGATTACACGCACACCAAGTTGGCGAGCAATTCAACTTTAATTATACGAAGGACACTTTTGAGCGCAACATCCTACCGTCGCGGTGGTCCTATGAAAACTGGAAAGCGAAACTGTAATCACGCACCTTCCCCCGTTTTAAGTACGCAACGCGTGTCCTCCCTACTCTACAAATACTCTCTCTTTCTCTCTTCCTCTTTCTCTCTCCTCTCGTCATCCCTATCTCCCCTTTTGCCGGTCGATTATCTCTCGACCCGCATTAATTCTTTACCCAACGCAACTTTAAGGCTGGTTTATGCAAGGCCGTAACTGTTAAATTATATCGGAATCGGTAAAAATTGTCCAATCGCCGTTAAAAGCGAAGAGATTAGTCGACTGTAATTGGTCAATTTTTACCGATTCCGGCGTAAATTAACGGTTACGGCCTTGCATAAACCGGCCTTTATTCAACAACCGCCGTAAGAAGCTCGTAACGCCAGAATTTCAATTGTTCGATGGCATGCATTTAAATTGACAGGTTAAGGCGCGATAATGTTTCCTTAATATGAAAAATAAAAAGTTGCGATTTGCTCGGCTCCCGACAACCTTCTGGAGAAATTAATTTTCGCAAAATGACTGCTGGAATGGAACTACTAATAACGGCGGAGCCACACTTCATTCCAGGGTAGACACTTCTAAGTACCTCGATTGCAATCGAATCTGATTGTATTCTAAATAATTAATAACCGTTCTTTAATAATCCAATGATCCATTGCATTAAGAGGCTGACGGCGCCGCGGTTAAAGTGCTTTTGCGAATTTCAAGAAGGTAGCACGGCTATATGCTTTTCAGGTATTCCGGTTATTGTCCGCAGTTCCGATTCAGTTGCGGCGAAACGTACGCAAAGGCTACGCATAAACTGCTGCTCGATCCTACGATTAACCACGCGAGTACGCTCGTCCTGGCGAATCGCGCCGACGATTACGAGGTGAACGATTCGCAACGTCACTCGATAACGCAGTAAACGATAAGATAATACGAGATAAGGTGCAATTTATATAAGCTTGAAAAAGTCCCCCCCCCTCCAAAAAAAATATATCAATTACTTCACCGCGAGCATCTTAAAAATAATCTTTTATCCGTTGTCGAACAACACGTGCGTAGGCATGGCGACCATTCAAGAGCGATATAAACGTGGTCAATACCCGTTTCAAGAGGATCGATCCACTTTTCGTTCACCCCATGGTGCCAGGATACGAGGGTGCTTATCGGTTCCTCGTAAATGCTTATCAATACGAACTCTCGCGCTTAAAATTATCACGGGTCCGCGTGATCGCCGCCCGACAGGTTTTCCTTGAAATTCAACCGTTTACTGAACATTGCGTAGGTTTCGTACCGGGAACGTACGCCGGTCTCGGACAAAGATACGCGGTGCGCGCGACCGAAGGTCTCGCCGACTTCGAGCGACAACAATTACGGAATAAGGCGGTTTCGGATCGCCTGAGAAGAACGGTTGCCGTGCAATGCGGGCAAGCCGAGCCGCGGAATTTGGAGGAACGTCTGGTGAGAGAAAGAGAGAAAGGGCTGCCACCAAATTGTCAGAATGTCAAAGTTAAAAATGGAGCAATATCGTAGTTCCTAATAATGTCATTTCTAAAACGGTGAGCTTATTGTCAACTCAACTGGCAAATTTTATTGGGTTAACAATAAACTCGCTGTTTTAATTTTTAATCATCACTGGCGGCTGTAAGTGACATTTTTCTTTCGTCAATTTTACTTTTATCACAGCTAATCAAGAGCCAATTTAAACTGCCTCTGCTTACCGTGCGACGTGAATATGCGGCGGCGATGAGCGATTCATCACTAGACAAGAAGTGCGAAACATCGAAAAGCTACACGTCGTTGTTTCACGTATAAGAAAATGTAAGATTATTAAATTATTAAATTATATAAAGCGACACGTAATTAAATATTTTAAAAATTCGAATTAAATGTCGAATAATTTGTGTAATAAATATAAAATTGTTCTAATCTTTTGTCACCAGATTTAAGGTAAATGTTTGCTAAATTTGTTGCAAAACGACAATTAATATAATTACGTCCTATCCTGTATTAACGAAGTGTCGAAAAAGCGTTTTCAGTTGTTTCTGTAAATCAGTGACAAATTTGCATTCTGCCATTGAAAATCGTAATTCCTAGTTCATAAATTCTACTCTCTCGTTTCCTCAAAAAATTCGGCTTCCGCGCGATTAATATCGCAATCGAATAAAATGAAACTTCCGGACAAAAATCCCGAGTGGTATTCGTTCATCCGCGAAAACGCGAGAAGTAAGTGACCGATTGTAAAATCGTATCTGTCCCAGTCTCACCTGTCAATTTTGTGAGGTTCAATAATTTTACCAGTTCTATATTTAACTAATTGGATCAATTCATAAATCTCGCAAGTTAATTTGTTTTGTCTAATATTTTACTTTTTGTAAATTAAAAAATTACCCAAGACTTGCGGAAGAAAGAGATATTTGACGTCATATTGAATATACTTCGTAATAAAAGGATACGCGATTCATATTCCTCACGGCTACGTATCTTCCGGAACATTGATCGTCCCGTCGTCTGACAATGTATTATGCAGTGTTGCAAATTGTCGGAAAAGACAGAGTAGAAAATACAGAGTAATGACTAACGTTTACCCCGATCCCTCATTACTTGCTCAGTCCACTGAGATCTACCACGAAAACGTCGGAATGATACCGAATTATCTTGGGTATATTCCAGGAGCCATATTCAGGCAAGTTTAATTAATCAATTGAA